ACAGCCAAAAAAGAAAAAGGAAAACAACAACAGCAACAGCAGCAAAAATAAACAAAAGCAACCTGCCAACGCAGTGAAACATTGTTTATGCCGCAAGCTATTAATATTTCGATTTGATTTTTGGATTGCCGCACGGACTTCGTCTAATTAGTCACAGCGCGTTGATTAGTCGGCTGCTCGGCTGAAGGTGCTAACAGGCTCAGCTGCTAGCGGCGTTAAGCGGCACAGTCTGCCAACGTGCGAGGGCTGCCATGAATGTTGTAGCGTTATATATATATGTCCTGAAACACTTGACTCATTAAGATACTGTTTGAAAAGCTTAAAGACCGTTATGATATCGAGGCAGCTGTCCTCTGAAATACCTGAGAGACTGAACTATCAAGAAGTAAGATACTTGGCTATAAAGTGTCGTCAGATATTGTTGGCTCATGCTGCTTGGCTTGGCTTGACATCACAAGCTTAAATTAAAACTTAATTGGAAGTTCATTCATTCCTTGCTGAATGCCACTCTGATCTACTGATAAAATTCTTGTTGTGCAGTGTAATCGGCGTAGCCAAACAGCACTCAGCTAAATATCATTTGTTATAAATTATAAATAAATATTTTATAAATTATATAAAAAGTTCAGCTATTTAAGAAGACTTTCACTAAACTTTGGTTCGGTCTTAGCCAAAGGCTCTGTCAGCTAGTTACTTTGAATGTTGTAAGCTCTACATATTTGCCGTGCTTTCAATAAACAAAAATATATATATCTTTTAGCTAGTTAGCTATGTAAGTGGATTTCATTATTTTGTAGAGCACAAAAGGTATTTTTTATTCACTGGCTCTATTATCTTTTGCCTTCTGCTTACCTGGCAGGTAGCGCTCCATTCTTTTATATGTTAAAGCTCATTTATAACTTGCGTAAGTTGTAAAAGCTTTTTTTTTTTTAAATAAAAATGGAAAGAAAAAACTTTCTCAGACAATAAAGGATAAAGTCTTTTATTGTGGTTTTTCATAAACTTATATTTTATGCTTACCTGCTTGAATTTAACTTGCGCCTTAGCTACTATTAGCTGAACAGCTTGATTAAAGTCATGTTCATATATTATGCACTTTATATTGGGCTGATTCCTCAAACAGCCCCAATAAATTACAAAAACTCTCTGGCTGCGTGGGTGTGTGTGTATTTGCTTATGTTTACTTACAATTATGAGTGTGTTGTCATCTTCGTCGTCATCTTCAACTCCGGCGTGCACGTCTCCATTTCCATGCCCGACGCCTTCGTCGTCGTCGTGTTCATTGCCGTCTCAAGGATTCGCACACTTGGCGCTTTTCAAAAAGTTTTTGCCAGCCCTTGCCTAAGGGGTTGGAGGGGGGAACAGTGCCAAGGAGTATGCAAGCATTGCAATAATAATTACAAATGTTGCACAATAAATTGCAAAGTAAACAGACTCAGGCGACGATGACGTCGACGTCTGCTAAGGCAGCGACAGAGGCAGCGACAGCGGCAGAGACCGAGTGCAGTGGCAAAATTACTTCCTGCTCAAGCGTCAGCGGAAATGTACATACAAATGCCACACACACGCAGAGCGAGAAGGAGCTGATGTCTGCCTGCCCCAAGCTGTGTTTATTGAGGTTGGGCCAAAGGAGGCGAGGCGGGGTGGGGCGGCGCACAGGGGAACAGTCACTTGTCAAAAACAAAATCAGACAAAAACTCCCCCCGCGGCGGCGACAAGATGCGTAATTGCAACTGCTGCTGCTGCTGCTGCTGCTGCTGGCGACTGTTGCTGCAAAGGATGTGAATGTGCCGGATGCACAGGATGCGCACAATTCGCTGCATTTGCATTCCATCTATTCGTCTCTCACTCCAACTCCTTTTGGCTGTTCTACTTCTTCTTGGAGCTGGCCCTGCGCGTGGAATGCAATAAATCGTGGCCAGAAAACAATGACAAATGCTGTGGCGTCCTGTCCCAAATTTGCGGTTGCCTTGCGGACACTTCATTTGAGATCCGTTAAGACCCAATTGTTTTCACCTCTGACAGCCGCCTGTCTAAATTAATATTGAGTTGACTAATGCTCTCTGGCAGCGCAAGGAAATTAAGGTGTCAATGTGCCCAATCCAGCATGGGGCATGAAATGGCAAAGGAAATCGTTATATTTCCATTACTTTCCTCTCTTTTATAGACTGTTATTTCAGAAGATTTGTGATTTGTGATTGTGAGAGAGAAGGTGAAATAGCATAGAGTGTAGGAATTAGTAGAAATAATTATGAGAGTTAAGTGATGAGCAAAGTTCATAAAGAGAAGAAAGAGAGAGGGAGAATGAGTGACAAAGAGACAGATAGAGTGAGACAAAAAGAGAAATAGAGAGATAGAAAATGCAAAGTATGTGCTAGAGGAAATATATTACAATACTAAGACATCACATTACAGTATAAATAAAAGGAAAGAGCTGTGATTTACAGAGGGAGAGGCAGTAAGGTAAGGCAAGAGATTGTGATTAAGTGTAGGTAAGGAAGAAGGAGCGTTGACATTAGGTAAAAGTAATGGAGTTTCTTTTAAATAAAAATGGGGTTAGCTAGAAAGCGAAGCAGTTATGGAGAGAAATAGTAATTGAATTAAGACACGACCAGAGGGAGCGGGAGACTGAGTGAAGACAAATGACAATTTACGTGTCAAAGAGGGGAATTTTAATCGCACAGCAGCAGCCTCAACTGCATATAAGTTATATATTTAATGAAACAATGTGATTTGTATGACAAGTAAACGAGAAAGATATTCCGATAGTTAATCAGTTACACTTCGTTTGCTAATCCATTGATTAAACTTTTTTATTTTAGATTTCACACACGCTGCAATGTAGATTGCTGTGCCAGGCAACCATTGTAAGCTAGCATCATGGTGGAATCGTCGAGTTTGGGGCGCGCGCCGCCTGCGGCACAGCAGCCCATACCGCAGCAGCATTCGCCTTCGCCATCGGGAATGCGCTGCGGCAATCTGGAGACACGCGTGCGTGGTTCCTGGTACCGAGTGATGGTGACGCTGGAAACGGACTTTCTGGCAGTTAGTCTGGACGAGTCATGCGATTCAACGAATCATTCCAGCGACGGCCAATCCACAACACTCAATGGCACGTTGGGGTATGTATATTCAACAGATTCAGAGAGAGAGAGAGAGATTGAAGGAGGGAGAATCGTGATCTGAACTCTTGCAGAAGTAATCACAGTGGCGGAGGAGGTGCCAGCCAGAATGGAACACTGCCTAGCTCAGCCTCGTTACAGGGCATGGTCGTCCAGGATACTGAGCTGGATGGCTCCGTGGGCACTGGCACCGGCAACAACGACAACGGCGATCTTTGCCTGAACAACAACAATAATGCGGACGCCGGTGGCCTGGATATGTGCGATGTACCTGATCATGTGGCCAATCAGAAGCGCCACGTGCGCATCATCAAGTCCGACAACAACGGCCTGGGCATATCCATCAAAGGAGGCCGCGAGAACCGCATGCCCATCCTCATCTCAAAGATCTTTCGAGGCATGGCCGCCGACCAGGCCAAAGGCCTCTACGTGGGCGATGCCATCCTCACCGTCAACGGCGAGGAGCTGCGCGATGCCACCCACGACGAGGCAGTGCGTGCTCTAAAGCGTGCCGGTCGTGTGGTGGACCTGGAAGGTACGTACCCTCAATCCGAAGCAAATGTATAAACATGCTTAATCCTGACATTCTTATTTGCCCAAAACATTTGTCCATAGTTGGCCTGCAGATAGATACAAAAAAGCTAGATAGAACGAGTGAGTGCTCAAAAAGTGCCATTGAGCGAGTGGAGCTAACAAGCACAAAGTTGGTAGCTGGGGCTGTATCAGGCGATACACTGTGCGAAAAGTTGCTGTTGTAAATAGAGAAGCTCAAGAGTAGTTCAGCTGTCTCTATTAGATTCTATATAGCAGCAGGAAACTGTGAGATTTTGGCCAAGTTCTAAAATGTAAAACAATTTTCATTTGCAGTTGACACTCTTGTTTCGCTCAGTGTAGCTGTAACGCTTCATACGTGGGATTAGTCAGTACAACATGGCTAGCTACTGCCGGCTGATGCTGTTGCTGATGCTATTGCTATTGCTATTGCTGCTGATGCTGCTGCAGCTGCAGCTGTGTACTGTTATAAATCCCCCATCAACTCCAACCCACTCAGACCTCAGCCCTCGGCCCGCTGCCTGTTGACTCTTAGCTGTTGACTGCCGTTAGTTGCGCTGGTTTGTTGGCCTGGCTCGTCGGTTCGTTGGTTTGTTTGTTTGCCTTGGCTTGGCAATGAGTAATGAGAAAAGTTTTCTTTCCATTTGATCAAAATGGCCCCAAAATACATAGTTGCTATGCCATTGTGGGCGGCGTGGGCGTGGCAGCAACAGCAGCACCAGCAAAGGCGCAGTTGCCACTGCCGTGCGAATTAAAATGAATGCTACGCACTATATTTTCATCAGCTGAAGTGGCAAGAGGCACAGTGCCTTAAATGCATTACGAACTGATCAACTATCAGATACTCTGCAATATAATCTTCCTATCCAAATAGAGACTGAAGAAGAAGAACTCTCCTCTTCATCCCACGCATTATTTGCTCTGGCTAGAAGTATTTGATATTCGACAAAGCGCTCGCTCCCCCGACAACGATTTACTGCGAAGTGTAGCAACTGCAATAAGCATCAATTAGGCAATTGGCTGTGCCAGACGTGAGACTCGAGTCGAACGACTAAAGTCCAAAGGCAAACAGAACGCATAAACAATGCAATGAACCATGGAGGACAATTTAGCTGCGCTGCGCTGAGCTGTGCTGCGCCAACTTCCATCTGTGTGCAAACACGCACATCGAATGGAGAATTGACTCTGGTGCAGCCAATTCCATTTCCATTTCCATTTCCATTTCCGGCACAGCTGGAAAACAAACAAGTGCTTAAAGGCTGGCTGCAAATATTTAATACCATTTGTAGTTCGTATATCAGAGAGTAGGATTTGGCTTGGCTGGATTTAGTTGCGGCGCAGGCGTTCACTGCGCACACGTTGGCGTCTGAAAGGCTGCTGCTTGGGCTGCTCCACTGCGAGAATGAGGCGTCCGAATTGGGCGCCGGCGGCGTTAATGGGCAGCAGCACTAGGCGACCGCTGGCCAGACCTAAGGCAGCTTCGTTTAGCTCTTGCTCCGCCTCCTCGACCAGCTCCACCTGTGACTCTTCCGCTTCCAGTTCGTTGTCGGGCTCCTCGAGCTCGGGTGCGCCGTAGCTGCTGGCGGGCGTATTGGGCGCTCCGTAGGTGTTGGCGGGTGTGGCGGCCACCTTGAGGGCAACCTCGGTCGTGGGCAGCTCCTCTTCATCGCTCAGCTCAGTCGTCTCGGGCTGCTCCAAGGCAGGCAGATCAGCAACAGGCTGCTGTTCAGCAGCAATGCCATCAATGGCAACAGCTGCAAAATCCTCCGCAGCCTCGCGTACGGGTGGCTGAAAGTCTCGAGCGGGTGCCTGGGCCACCACCTCTACGGTATCATCGCGACTTGCTGGTGGCTGGTTGGGTGGTCCATAAGTGTTGGCCGGTGTGCGCGCATTCACCTGCACCTCCTGCTCCAGCAGCTCGGTGGTGGTGCTTTGCTCTTCTGTGATGCCAAAGTCTTCCACTTCAGTTTTGGCCGTTGCCGCTGTTGTGGTGGCCAGCGGCTCCTCAAGCTTGGGCTGTCTTTCGCTGGGCAGATCGAATGGTATCTTTGGCCGGAAGCCAGCTGCTGGATACGGCGTGCTGGATAGCTCCACTTGACGTTGGCTCTTCAGCTGACGACGCTGCGGCATTGCTAAGCTGGCCACTGCCAGCAGAAGCATCAGGAATATTCCAGCAAAGGTCTTCATTGTTGCTCGTTGAACGATTGTTAACGGTATGTGACTGGCTGCTGTGGGTGCACTTGCTTTTATAGTACATAAACCGGTCAGGCGGGCTGGCAGGGATTCTACATCAGAATTCAGTAATGGTCGCAAGGTCAGCTGCGCTTATATTTCGGCTATGATAACGATAACTCTTGCCCGGCAATGCAAATGGGACACGAGTCGCAATATTTGCGCATTTAAAAACATATCGAAGCCCATCAAAGCAGCCATCAAGCTCAATGTTAACGACGCTTTAATATGAAACAACCTCCACCTCCGCCCTGAGCCCTCTGGGCACGTCCACCTCCATCTCCAGCTCCACCTCCACTTCTACGTCCACGTCCGTTGCGATGCCCATGACGGCTGCGTCGTCATCGCCAACGTGAGTGGCATGCTAGGCAGCTGACGAGCTCGTCGCACATGTCGTTGATCCATTTCGCCAAAGTTTCGTCGCCCCAAAAATTAAGAGCGAATAAATGTCGAGAAACTAATCAAAAGTCATTTGTCGCATTTGCAATGCTCTACTCCATGAGAGATATATATTTATGTTGTGACTAAAAAAATTATCATCATTTGCCAAGGATTTCCATTGACATCAACCTGGTCTAGTCTGGCTTCTAGTTATATTTGTCAACTTGATTTTGCGTTTTTTGTTATTTTTAATTATGTAATTTATTTGCAATAATTTTTAATGAAAAGAGTTCAATTTTAGATACATTTGAATCATTCCCTACTTGCTTTATCAAATGTGGCTAATTTAATATTTTAATTTTAGTTTCAATTATTTTATATTTTGGATATTTCTTAGCATAACTTCCATGCTTAACTCAGAAATTATTTTGTGGTAAATTTAGTTGCGTATCAACAAAGTATTAATTTTTTGGTATTACTTTGTCTTCCTTAACTTTTCCTTATTAAATATTTATTAAACATTGCTAAACTAATTTCCAGACTCTTTTGTTTAGTAAACAGCTAAAGTTCCACCTAAATAAGAGACTTAGAGCTCAAAATATTTTCGTAAAGTGCTCAATAAACAAATTTGTTATTTCAGTTTTATATTAAAGTCAATTCAATAGCAGATTTTTATACTATATAAACATTATTTGATATTATTTAATTTCATAACAAATAAATATTGTTTGTAGAATTTGCTGAGGCAATCAATTTAAGCTTCAGTTTAACTTAATAAAATAAATAATAAAAAAATATAAATAAATATATATTGTTACATATATATTATAAAATAGCATATACATGCATATTTTTTATAAGAAGAATATTTAATATACTTCGGTTCAAACTTTGCTATCTCTATTATCTATATTAAAGCAAGTTCTGAGTTCTATAAGTCCGCATTCTATTATTTATTTACAAATATATCTTTTAAGTTATATTTTTTTAAGTTTGTCATCTTATGTATATTTCGATATTTGATTTATCGTTACAACATCCATGGGTCAGTCAATGTATCCCTTGGCACATAGCGTATGCCAAATGCGCCTTTTGTTATTGCTGTTTGTGTGTGTGCATATTTAGGCAGCTTTCATAATTTGAATGGGGCGGTTCATTAAATTAAATTGGCCCAGATCTATAAGCACGTAAAATGGCACAAGCATCCATTAGCATTACCATGACAATCCCTGGCCAAATCACAGCCAAAAGGGCAATCGCATAGCGTAAATGCTTAACAGCGATCTGCTCCCGCTTGGTTGGGCTGAAGGCTTGTGCTCGGGCTCGGGCTCAGGCTCAGACTTAGCCCTCAACCCTCATGCCTCTGCCGTTGGCTCGAACTTCAATTTACAACTTGGCCAAGTTGTTTGCCAGACTCAGGCGTTCGCCTCTGTTGAGTCGAGTTGGCCGTCGTCGTCTCAGTCGTCTTATTGTAATTTAAATAAGCTGGCGGCTGTAACTGGGATTCTGAGCCCCAACTTTTGCCGTCCAGTTGCACAAAATCCAAACTCCAACTGCCAAATGTCAACGGCAGATTTCGTCGCCCAGGCAAAAGGCGTCGACGACGACGACAGTTGGCTAAGGATTCAGTCGCCCACATCCCTCGCCCTGCCCATTCACACTGCCTGCCTACCAAAAGTCCATTAGCAATGGTTTTTACAGCTTGGCATACTTTTGTGGGTCTGCCAGCCAGCATCTAAAAACCCGCCCAGCCACCGCTCCAACTCTCCTCGCAGCCCCAAACAAATTCTTCTTCCTTTCCGGAACGCAGCGCGTGAGATTTTACTCTAAAAAGTTTGTGCAAAGTTTTAACGCACGATTTGCGAGAGCGCCAGCAACGCCGCCTGCACTTGATATCATATTTGTGCGCCCACTGCCACGCCTACTTTGGCTACTTTCCGGCTTGATTTATGCGGGCGGTCAGGTGCAGCTCCCGCACCGCTTCACGCTGCCTTGCCAAAGGTGTAAAAAACTAATCTCCACTTGCGCTTTATGCAGCTTTTGCTCTATTTTCGGAAACGAGAAATAAAATAAAATTGAAAAAACATTTTACAAATAATTATTTTCAACTTATCTAATTGCTTAAATATTTGTATATAGAGAATGTTAATTTAAACAAGTATTACGATTTCAATTTGAAATATATTTAGCTATTTTTATTAAGTATGATTTTATTTTGAAAAAAGTCTTAAAAAAATTGTAAGTTATTTGCGATGAATTAGTTTTACCAGAAAGATAATCCATCTTAAGTTTTCTGAAATTAGAAAGATGGAATTTGATGTTTTTATATACATAGAATGCTTTTTAAAACAAATATATATTTTTATATTACGATGTTGAAATGTTAAATGTGCTTATAGAAGCTTGGCTGACCAAACCAGAGTATTACTATTTTCAATATTCATATTTCGACAGGTGCATAACATTCAGCTGTTTAAATATACAGTAAATATTGTCATTCAATTATGAATAATTTATCAAAATTGGGCGGAAGTTCCGATTAAATTATTAAGAAATTATTTGCATTGTTTAAGCATTACAAGAGTCTGGATCTTTGGATCTTTAGACATCGAGATGGCAGCAGGACTGAAGAAGACAAAGCAAAGTCAATTCGATGAAAACATTTGAGTTGATTTTGCCAGAATAGCAACGCCCATGTTAAATCGAGTCATTCAGAAATTGAAGCCAGCTACGTTTGCAATTTCCATACAAAATTAAATATATATAGCTTTAAAATAAAATCGGAAACAGGAAAATATATAGCCAGCTTTGTGGGGATATATCAAACCGATAAATTGTTCAGAAATATGTATATAAATGTTTTATAATATTTATTAGTTAAAACCATTCATTACCTTTAACCTGTTACTCCCAATTACCATTAAATTTTAATATGAATTATATATCAAATAGTTTTTTTTAATATTCTTTTATATAAATGTGTAAACAGTTAATAATTGTTTGGATTTGCAGCTGAGTGCAGGTCAGAGCAGGTTATTTACTTGAAGTGTATGTGGCAAAGGTATTAAGACTAGTTTACATTTGGCTTACAGCATTTGCAGTTGAATTGTTTTATTTATGTTTATGTTTGCTTTTATTTTTTCAGTTTTCAGTTTTCAGTTTACAGTTTTCTGTTTTCTGCAATTGCAACTTTATTTACACTGAAATGCAAAAATTTGCACAACTTATTACAGTTGTTATTGTTGTTTCTAAACTTTGTTGGTTTTGTTGTTTGGATTTCAGTGCACTTCAGGCTCAGCTGCTCCCCGCTCCCGTTTCCACGACTTATGTGCCAGCAGCGCCTCACGCTAGGCAACATTTTTTGTGTTTTTTGTTGTTGCCCACTCAGTTGTTTGTTTGCTTGTTTGTCTGTTGGTCGTCGGTTGCATATTTCTATATGTAAATGTTTGCTGAGCTGTGAGCTTAGAGGCAGCGTCCACTCGTAGCCCATTTGGTGCACGTAAATGCCAAGCAATTAGTGAGCCACTGCGAGAGCAGTGGAAGGAGTCGGTGGGGCGCCTGTGAGACGGTTATTTCAGCCCGGTCTGCTCTAATTAGTTGGGGCTAAGCGCACGAATTGAGCCGCACAAAGTGAGCCAGCCTCCGACTCGCCAACCGCAAGGCGCTGCCAACAGTTGGCATTAAGTGTGAAAATTGAATTTCAAAATCACTCGAACGACAACAACGTCGCCAGCGGAAATGTGCAAATGTTGTGGGCGGAAGGCACACACACACTCATGCACCCATGCAGCGGACTCGAGAGCCAGATAAACGAGTATCTATCTACTACAAGCCACCTGCGCTCAGCATTTCCATAGCAGCTGCACAGTGAAGCAAATGTTGTAGAGTTCTAACAAATATTCAGACTATGCTAATTGCGCTATAAATTGAGACAAAATTTTGATTAAAATAATACTTTAAAATATTAAACAATTTATATTTAGATGTACATTTCTTGAGTCTATGGCAAATGGTTATTTAGATTGTAATAATTTTTTTAAGCATGCAACGTCTTGATGTCTTGATCAGCATCGTTAGGCGTATCGGCTTAGCACCGTCTGTCTCTCTGTCCATTTGTACGACTGTGTGCTTCGATGTATTAAGCGAATTATAAATTTGAAATTCTACAAGAAAGTTTTGCTATAGCACGCGCAGTTCAAGTTCATTTCAAACAATCGATAACTTTTTCAATCTCGTTTATGAAATCGATTTAAAAGGAATAGTGCTTCAGTTACTTAAGCTTGCTTAAATCGTTGAGTCTCCAAATTGTTTTACACATAACTTAAAAAAGTTAAATATGTAAAGTAGGTAAATATATGGATTGATCTCAATGGAGCTCAAGCCATCCGGTTACGTAGTTTTATTGTTAACAAATTAATGTTTTAACAAAAAAAAAAAACTTAAAAAAAAGCTATATATATTTAATACCTTAAGACACCCTCCGCAAATATACAGTTTAAATACCCATTCAAGCTCCAACATTTCGAACACCTAACTTACTCTTTAACATTGCTCTAGTTGAGTCCAGGTATCTGGCCCAACCGACTGTATAACTCTTATAATTATTATTGGATTTATTTGTGATCTGTAAGCAAATGAAAATAATAGAGGCATTCCCGTTCTTGGGGTAGTGATACACGCTTTCTTATTCGTATATGTTTTTAAAACTTGAAATGTCTGTGAGATTTAACTACTTTAAAGTCGAAGCATTTATGCTGAATTCAACACCTGGCAATTGATTTGGTGTCAGTGTGCGTGTCTTTGGTCCTGGGCATGTGTGCAAAATCGAATAAAAATGGAGCGGAAACTCTAATGAATTTAAGCCGCAACGTTTGTGTTTGACGCTCAGGCGTCGGCAAGGACTGACTGATTGAATGCTGGCTGGGCTGCTGTGGTTGATGCCATCGCACACACATCCTGATGCACACAGCGGGTGGCACCGCACGGCGGTGGCTCGAATTGCTTTGGCATGCATATTCATGTGCTTCGTGTATTGATGTCTGTATTTGCAGTTAAATTTCTGCGCGAGGTGACGCCCTATTTCCGCAAGGCGAGCATTATTTCTGAGGTGGGCTGGGAGCTGCAGCGCGCGTTCCTCTGCCCACTGGGTCCGGGCGCGCCCACATCTCCGCCAGCACCAACGCCCAAGACAACGCCGCGTGCCGATACGCGCTACATACCGCTGCAGCTGACGCATCTGGCGCGCAATCTCAAGTACATCGATCCGGGTGAGTGGTCCTTGCTGTTTGGTCTTTGGCTAAGCCTAATCCCGAAATTGAACTGCTCTTGGCACTTGCAGAGAACCGCTGCCTGGAGCTCCATTCGCCGGATGGCGTGCACTCGTGCATTTTGCGTGCGGGCGACTCTGCGGAAGCTTTGGTCTGGTTCAATGCGCTCCACTCGGCCATGAGCAGCAGCACGCAGCGCTCCCTGCTCGAGGCGAATCGTGCATTGTCGGCTCTCATCGGGGAGCTCAAGCACATTGGATGGCTGAGCAAACGCCTAAGTGGCGGCGGCGGCAGCTCAGGCAGCGCCGGCGGCGGAGGCGGCAGTGGCGCTGCCAGCGGCGGCAGCGGTACATCCAACAGCGGTGGCGTCGCCGGCGAGGTGGTAAGTGTAAGTTTCCCCTCTTTTGCCAACCCTGAATGCTTAAGCCAAAAAGCCTTTCATCTAATAGAGTCGTTTTTAGACTCGGGCTATAAATAAATAAAATGATAAATTGAAACTGACATTATATTATACAATATTTACAATCCTTTAGCCGAGCGGACGGTCCAGTTCGGAGAGCTCTGACGAAAGCGACAAATGGCTGCCCATTTTTGTGGCAGTCACCGAGCGGGAGTTTCGGGTATACGAGAGCGCACCCTGGTCCGTGGAAGCCTGGAGTCGTCCCGTGGAGAGCTATGCGCTGGCCACAACTCGCCTGGCCGGCGCTGGCAACAACTCCTCCCTAAATGTTAGTAGATAGAGAAGGAGAGAGAGCTAGAGAGGCGGAGTATTCAATAAGCTAATAAACTAAATTTTCCAACCTCACCGCCAACAGGGCCAGCAGACAACGGTGTTTTGCGTGCGCTGCGGCACAGCGCGGGGTGTGCTGGTTTATTGGCTACGCTCGGAGACGCATCGGGATATGGCTGCGTGGGCGCGTGCTCTGGTCCAGGGCTCCCATCAGGCGGTCAATTTGCAGCGGGAGTTCTCGTTTCGCTGCCTCTACCAGGGCAGGCAGTGTCAATTGGTTGTGCACATAAATCGCGGCTTCTTCTTATACGATTGCGGCGGCTTTGCCTCATCGACGCCCACAGCGGCGTCGGCGACCAACAAAACGCAGCTCTGGCAGTTCGCATTCGACAAATTGAAAGGCTCGGCGGATGATGGCGCTCGCATGTTGTATTTGGACTTTGGCGAGGATGGCGAAATTGTGAGTGCCTGCAAATTATTAATTATGCAATTGAACTCATATTCTATCTCCCTATCTCCTTCTATGCAGGAACTGGACATGGAATGCTGTCCAAAGCCCGTTGTATTCGTGGTGCACAATTGCCTATCGGCGAAGGTGCACAATATCGCCTAGGCGGCCTGGCAGTTGGAGCATCTGCTCTTGCAAGCATCAAAGGGAATAATTTGGAGATTGAGAAACAAAAATAATAAATCAAATTTACATTTTTTAATTTTATAAAATATGCTCTCTAGAAAAGAGCAAATTTAACACTTTTCATTTAAGTAATAAGAATCTTGTTTGCTTGTTAAATGGCGCTTGAGGGGATATCCAAGCCAGCAGATGGAGAGTGCGAGTGAGCATTTTGTGCTTCCCGATGGCTAATGGGCTATTTGTAAGTCTAGCAAAACAGAACAAAACAGAATTAAATCAAAGTATAGCAAAGTAGTATCTTTCGAGAAGAGAACTAAATCGAATACCGACAAGCACAAACCAAAACATTTTTACATTGTAAGTAGACGTAAATTCATTTTATACGGGCGTGTGTCATATACACACAAATAATATACCATCTAAATACAAAACACGAGAGGAAATTTATGATGAATGAAATGAAATCCAATTTGAAAACGAATATCTAAATGCAAATCTGATATCTACATTGAATACACACACGTTGAACAATAATTATCGTAATTGTACTTAACTAATTGTATCTTGTATCTAAACGAAGCACACATATCTCGATGTATTAGGCCCTAAAGCATAGCGGAGAATTCGAAATTGTATCGTTCTCATTAAAATACCTACTATCAATTCATATACGAGAACTCTCAGACATTTCCTAACCCACTTTTCTTGTACAACATCGATCGATCATACGCAATTATTATACATTAAACCAACATATAAACATCACATATTCGTTCTATGAAATTAGAAATTTCGCTAAAAATTGAAAATAAAAAAGAACACAAGTCCCCACAACAACCAAGAAAATCAACATAGAATCATAAACTTAAGACGTACAATATGTATTTTTAACATAAGTAGTGTTGAATCTTCGATAATAAACTTATATATATACATAATACAAACAACATTTGCATATTTCTATGGGGTTTTTCCTTACACATTTGGCTTCATTTCAGCTAAGTAAGCTTTGCACCCAGCTTGATTTTATACCTGGATATGTCGGTAAAATAAAGTCGCTTCAGGCTTCAAAGCTTATCAAGTCGTCAGGCTCAAGGACATAAGTTTGCTGGTTACCAACTTTAGTAAGGTGCAAGCCGCCAAAAAGTCAGCAAGTTGTCTGCATTGCCATATGAAGAGCATTCCGTTGTAACAGCATCATCCACCGCAGCTGGGTCGGCTTAGTCTTGCAACTCTTTTTAAACTTTGTTCATTTGAGAATTACTTGGTTAAAGTTTGGAAAGCAAAAGCAATAATAATTTTAATAATAATTTCTCTTGCTTAAGAGTTCAAGCCACGTTGTTGATTACAAACTTGTGCATCCAAAAGAGTCTTATGTTTCTTTTGACTTTTTATTGATTAAGAAACAGGAAACTAAATTTGTATTTTAAGCGTGTTTCAGCGATTGAGGAAATCGATTTTGATGACTGCAAGCGGCACTTCAAGAGATTTTATTGAGTTCGAATTAAAAGGAAGCTGCTGGACAAGCAACGTTTGATGTTAAGAGTAAAATCTAATCTTGATCGCTGCTTAAATTAGTTTTTCTAGTCTTCAAATCAGACTTCGTGTAAGTAAAGAAAATTTATCTCGCATTTTCTACTTTCCAAGCTTTGATTATAAGTTTCAAATGAATAAGTTATTTTGTTCATCTAGTATCATCACTTTTTCCCTTTCTCTCTTTTAATCTCTTCAATCTCTCTTCCCTCTAACATTTCTTATTTGATTCGTTTTTACTTCTCATGTTACTTCAGTGACTTGCTCATATCTGCTGTTAGCATTATTAATAAATAAACTAAATAAGCTTTAAAAAAACTATAATGTGATAAAGTCATTACATCAATTTAACAAATTTCATAAAACATAGCTTCCCTGTTAAAGCTTTAGGTGCTGCCTGCTTCTCGGCCTTTATTGAGCTGCGATGGCCTGTTAGACGCTTATAAGTTACATACCAATAGATATATGTGGTGTATGTGAGCTACTACGAGTATGAGAACATGCGGCTATTTATTTCAATTTTCCCAATTCGCATTTAAGACGAAAACAAAGTCACCAAGTGTACGTGCCCGGCATGCTCAACGAGTGGCACTGGTCAGCCGCAAACTTTGCTCATCACCAACACAAGCTCAAATCGACTGCTGGCAAACATGCAGCAGCAGCAACAACAAGTACAAGTACATGTTGTTAAAGAGCAGTGGGCGAGTGGGGGAGGGGGTCAGTTGGGGAATATGTAAAGCGATTTTGGGGCTGACTCTGTGACCATCATTGCGGTCAACGGGCAGGTTTAAGGTGTAGCGAACGATGTCCGCCTTTTGGCCTCCACGTTGACACGATGACCACGACTGAGACACTGGATAGAGCAGCCAACCGCACACACACACACCCGCTCACACACACACAGACGCACACACAGAGGGAATTACATTTCCGGCTTGGGCAGCATGCGGAAGCAGCGCGTCGATTTAAATGCTTCAGGGCTAAAATTATGACAGGTGCCTGAGATTGGGCATGGATAAACGGGCGTTGGCCGCTAGAATTTGTTGAGCAGCTATAAATACGCTCGGCTGGAAAACGTCAGCGCTTAGTAGCACAGCTAAATAGTGAATCAAACGTCTAGAGCAGAAATAAAAAATATGTGGAAAGGATACGGATACGGCATTTACATAGCATGCTTGCTGCTATCTCTGGCCAGCGTACGGACGGCTGTCATACGGCCAGAGGAGCAACAGGAGACAACCACAATAAGCAGTGGGCTAACCGAGGAAGCCAGCACCACTGTGGAGCCTGAAGTAACGACCGCACAGGTGGCACAAAGTCGCGACAAGGATGCGACGGTGCAAATTGGTTGGGCTAGTGTTGATCCTGCGCCCGGCACCGTTGCTGGTGACCTGAGTGTGGGTCAAATGAAGTCGGCTAAGCTGCTGCTGTTGAGTACGCCAGCTAAGCGGCCAGCGGAAGTGGAGTTCGAGGAGCCAGACGAGAGCGATGCAACAGCCGCTGCTGGCAGTGGGGAGGGCAGCTTGCCAACTACAACGGAGGTCATCACTACAACCGAGTACAGTGAAGCACCAACAACAGTAACAGCAACAACAACGGTACCAAAGGAAGCCAGCGACCACAAGACAACAAAACTGTTCGCCATCAATGCGACAATATCCTCAGAGGACTCGGTGCAGCCCAATGTAGCCGTGGCCGTGGCCACAGACAATGCCACAATTGCAATTGCCGAACAGCCACAGGCAGCCGCTGCCAACAATGTGGCCATTGAGCTGGCCCTCGTCGAGCCGGAGGCCGAGTACGTGCTGCTGGATGGCAGCCTGGCCGACCTGTCGGAGCTCACAGCTCCCTCCACCCATGACGAACTGCAGCTGGGCAGCTTCACGCACATCGACAGCGATGTCCATTTGCAGCCAGTGGTGCATTCTGTGGAAATCGTGCCCACCAGCCTCGATGATCCCCTGATTGTTAATTATGTACACAATTTGCGTTGACTATCGATGTCTGAGCAAGCACCTACCCATGCACAGTGCTCAAGTTAAAGTTTGTTTTTATGTTCAATACGATTATCGAAAATGTTACGAAATTTAATTTAGTTTAAAAAAAAAGAATTTAATAAACAATTTATATATATCTGACACAAGAGGAGTGTGAAACTGGACAACTGTTTACTTTGCAGAGATAAGAGAGCTTATATATGGGAGTTAAGGACTGCAGAAAATTACATTTGAGATCTTACCTTGTGTCGGGCTATTTAAAGCCACATTCATGCGGTTATATATGGAATGGCACATCAATCAAACGACGGTCTCAGGCGCATGAATGAATTTTGGCTGACTCAGCTCGATATGTGCATTGTTATTCCTTAAATAATATCTGGGGAGTGCTTACGCCGTATCGACTTCTGAATCGTCTTCATTGTTGGTTACATCCGTGTGTGCCGATCTCCGCCTGGACTTTAGCTTAAGACTTTTCAAATGCAAGACACACTGATGCCTTGAGCACAAAAGACTTCATGATGAGTTCCAGTTCAAAATTAACAAGTTAGCTTGAAGTTCAGTGAAATTCGCTAATTATATTGACACCTTTAGTCTTATTGAATATTTCAACAACTGAATGTTATCAGTAATTTGAACAGCTACTGAAATATAATTATCGCAAATAACATTTATCTTGGTCAATCACTGTTTGAACTCTCTTTGTATGAAAATTAAAATTTCAATGTCGAGATTTGACCTAATGTAAATTAAGAGTGTGCGTGCCCGCTTCTCTCTGAAGTTCCCTCTCTATGCGCTTCTCAAATATTTAATTTAATTGGCTTGCATTGAATAAATGTGTGCGATCAGAAGCTAAAACTCTGACTCAAAACTCTTTCTCTTTCAGTCACACTCTCACTCTTTCTCTTGATCTCTTTCTCACTCTGTTGCTACGCTTATTATGGGCTTCAAATTTCTATTTCCTTCTCTTACTCTTTCCCACTTTTTGGCGAAACATCCATCTTCCTCATTCCAATAAATTAATTTGATCATATACACTGATATATGATTTTTTGGGAATATACATATTCTTATACTATATTTATAGACACACACTCACATATATATATATATATATATACATACATAAATAATTAAAAATTTGTATATGCAAACAAACGGATGTGACCATGCCAATACGACTAATGGAACACACTAGGAATATCTTTATAGATTTTATGAGGTCATAGATATTTCCTTCTTTGCGTTACACATTCCGTGACAATATTTTAAAGCCCGCACATAAAGTGATAAATATATATGTATTAGGAAAATACAGATGAACTCGTATATATTTCACCTTGATTAAAACATAACATGAAATTATTATTACTAAACTGTTTAACAGAGATACAGAGATAACAGATATAGGTTTACGCGAGATATGCAGTGGAGGCCATCTCACCAACGCTGCTCCACATGCGTGGTATAGGCAAATCCTCGACGGGGCGCCCGAATCAGTGGCTGCGAGCGCAGTGGAATGGCCACAGGTATGCCATTGGATGCAGGTGCTGTGGCCACCAGCACAGCTGGTCCCAGATTGGTAGTAAACAGCACATTTTCTGCGTCGGGCTCGTCTTTGGAGCCAGGCTCTGGCGTGGGCTTCAGCGGGTTTGTGCTCACACCACAAACTGGATGATTGGCGTTGCTGTCGGCTGTCTCTGTCACATTGCTGGCATCTGTTTGCTGCTGCTGCTGCTGCTGTTCAAGATTCAACTCGGTGGGCAGCAGAAAAGCGCGACTTGGGCGATAGCCGGCAGGTGGATAGGGCGCACCGGCAAAGGCGCGGCCTGAGCGGAATTCAATGGGCGACGCTGTGGTTGTGGAATCTAGTGAATCCAATGTTGTTGTTGTACTCAAATCGGGAGTTTCCGTTGTGCTTGTTATCACATCATCCAGCGGCAACTCCGTAGTAGTTGTGCCCAAATCTGAGCCCTCAGTTGGCAGCACCTCTGCAGCGGCTTCGCCTGGCAGCCAGAAGCCGCGTCCCTCCGGTCTGAAGCCAGCTGCTGGATATGGTGTGGGCGTGGGCTTCAGCTCTCGAACCACCGCCTGCTGATCGTCATCCTCCTGAACGCTGACCGCATACCGATTGATGCGTATCTGACGTGTCTCGGCAATTCCCGTAGCCCAAAGGCAGAGAACCAGAGCAAATATCCACTGCATATTGTGCTGTATATCGTGAGTGAGACGATATATGTCAACTGATTTGTGCTGCGGATGCGTCTGGCGTTTTTATACAATGTTCTCGGCGGGTCTAAGGTCTCGACTATCGGGTGGCGGGCATCGGGTCTAGGTAACTGGCAATGAAAGCGAGAGTCGTCTCATTTCGTTCCGTTCCATGTCGAGTCGTAATATCGGGACATGCACATACGTGGAACATCATTAGGCGTACGGCTATCACATTTATTGATTTATTTTATTTCTTTATATTTTATATACACAAATTTATATATAGAAATATATGTATATTGCTTTGAATATTTTGCATTTGTTTTGCTTCTGGTGTTTGACTGCTTATCCACGTCCACCACGTCCGAATCGCCGCCATGTTCTATGGAAATAAAATGCGTTTCCTACGTGATCGGAAAGTCTAAAGCGCAGCCTAAGCGGCCAAACCATTGACGAGCTGCCCACATCAATTGAAAGCGAAAACTTGTTGCCAATTGCATTATGTCTGGGCTTGAGTGTTAGAATATTTATTAAACACTTATAATCGATATTATGCGATCAACGACTGCCACTGAGGTGAACACCAAGGGCGGCTATGAGTAATTAACTAACTATTGTAGCATGTCACGTCCTCTGATAACGATCGAACTAACCTATAGTTAGCCACTTGGGTGTTCCATGCGTAACTGGGAGTATCGATACTCTACTGTGTAAGAAGAGTCTATAGTAGATTTGATAGATCACATAGATAGATAGATTATATCAAGCAGAATGTACTGCCAAACTATACTCTTTTCAATATTTTTTTAAACCAATCGAACTAACCTATAGAGAGCCGCTAGTGAGTCCCATGAGTAGCTCAAACTGCCTAGACTATACAGTTTACTACAGAGACTAATTTTGAAGAAGTCATAAAGCTGTCGTCAGACTCTTGAGTAAAACTTTTCAAAAATATACTTGACTTTTTGGTTACAAAGCTTTGTCTTAGTTAATATAAATTATTAATATAATAATATAATAAATATCCAACAATCTATTAAAAGTTATTTCTATGAAGTTGATAATAAATGGCAGAAACTCTAAGCTAGATCATTATTTAAGTTGCTATCAGAACTGCTTTCAGAACTGTAACATCTGTGTTTCGGCTTCCAGATCAAATTGAATGCTTAACTTAATGTTGAATAATTTTTGTCTCTTTTCCAGTCTATATATATAATATAAAATATGTTTATTTATTTTCATATTTGAATATGACCTCCAGTAAAATAGATAAATCTGACATTAACGACATTTAAATAATCTATTTCACACGCAAATCATATTTAAATATAGATGAAATTGTACTCTGAGGATGCTTACTACTATTATTAAAATTAAATATGTAAATATCTTTCTCTTCCTTTCCAAAACACACAAGTTGCATTTATAAGAAATTTATTAGTAATCAATTGGGATAGAAATATTATGCATAAATTTCTTAAATTTAATAACTATCATTTATATATCTTATCATCCCCTTTTAAAAGAATTCATTATGCTGACTTATTTAAAAAAAACTAGAACACTTTGTTTGGTAGCGCCGCAAGTCTTGCCTTTCCAAGTGTTATTCCATTGAATAGTATTCGCTCCGGTTTTGGATTGATTAATGGCGGAACTATAAATTCGAACTTCCAGCTCTTCTGCTACTTCTTTCTTGTCACGTCGCACGCACATAAACCCGCCGATCAGCCACTCACAATGGTGCCGCCGACGTCAGAGCGTGCGCCAAAAAAGGATGTCCATGCTTGGACTATGCGACGCACCGCACACTAAACAGATTCGATTGGGGCTGGAACACTGGCAACCACTTCCACTGTTTCCACATCTGTCCTAGCTATAAAAGCGCCGCGCTTTGCTGCCAACTGCAGCAGTCGTTGGCTTCAGCTTCCTAGAACCACCACACACATTCACCAAGAGCTCCAACTCATCGATATGGCCAAGTTCCAAGTCTTGATAGTTATCGCCGCCTGCCTGTTGGCTGTCAGTGAGTGCCAGGTGCAGCGTCAGCGCTCGCAGCGTTTGAGCCGTGGTCGCTCCCGTTACTTTGCACGCCAGGAGCTAGCGCCAGCGGATCCGGATGCCGTCACGCCATATCCTTCAGCTGACGAACTGAAGCCAGAGGTGCCCTTCGATGAGGCAGCTGCACCAGCCGCCGCTGAGCCCACACCCGACGCCGTCTACGGCCCGCCCGATGCGGCTCCCGCGCCCAATGCCGTTCCCGATGAGGTGTACGGCCCACCCGATGTCGCTGGCAATGATTTGCCTGTTGCTGATGCCGCCGCCGATGTGCCCGCCGAGCAGGCACGCCTAGTGGCTGCCAGACGTGCGGCCAAGCTCCGACGCGCCCAGCCTGTGGCCTACCGTCGCGTCGCCTCCGCCGCGGCACGCCCTGCCAAGCTAAGCGCTGCTCGCTCCGTGGTGAGACGCTCCTAGATGCAAGCAATCATCTGCTTTCGAGCTGCCTGAATCGGGCAGTCGCATATAGCCAGATGCCTAAAAACCCATGACGATTCAACGAAGCTCCCTTATGACGGCATATCAACTACTCACACTCACCCACACACACTCACACACAACAAACTATTCAGCATTTGAAATTTATCTTTGATTGTAAGCGAATTGCAAATAAAATGTTCAGGAAACATAACAAAAGCTCTCGTAGATCGTGCTCAGACATTCTGTCTACAGTATGAATCACGAAAGGGGGTTTGGAATGGTTTACTCCCAAACACTTGGCTCATGCTCAAAGCCAAAACCAAATGCGGCGCTGGCCAGCCCAAGTAACCGGTTAAGGAGCGCACGCGTACGCGTCATAAAAACATGACGATGATGCTGATGAAGGCGAAGACGAGGCTGCTTACATTGGGTTGGGTATCTCCCAAACCGCAAGTAAACAAGAAATTCAAGTTCAATTTGCCAGGAATCGAATAATTTCTACCCTATAAAAATGCATTAAGCAACCAGTACAAGGAGGAACTAACGAACAAGTTAAAAAGGCATGCATTTATCACTGTTTCAGATAAAACATATATATGATGAATACACGCCTTACTAATCTCTTCCAAGCCCATCTGGCACTACTAAGTAACATGTGAGTTATACGAAGAGAATTGATCAAGCTTAATATGAATTTCATTATCTAATAGAGAAGGGAATTAGAAATAATACGATTGCTATGCTGACAATTAGAATGTTATAATATGAAGTGATCGAATCATTTATACCCTATACAATGTGAGCTGTTCTCAATATAAAAGACGCTTATTGTGTGCAGATATTTTGCCTCAAACAAATCGACCCGAAGTCTGTTCAACCTCCCGTGCTAATCATTGTTCATTTACAAGCAGATCATTTAAAATTTAAAATTGGAAATTTGTATACAATTGCTTAATGACTGAGAGAGAGAGGGAAAGACAGAAATATTGCTTCTCATGGGGGTCAAACAGGCCTTCAATCGGCGTGATAAGCCACAAAACAAAATAAAAGAGAAACAGCTTCAAGTTGCTTGGCATCTTTCTCTTTGTCGGCCGCTATTGCTGTTGCTATCTCACTCCCGCTCTATGTCTCATCTCTGTCTCTTGCTTGGGCTGAGTCAGCTCAGCATCTGGATGCTTATTTAAATAATTGCAAGCGCTTTCAGCTACTCAGTGTATCAAACGCTGCGACTCAAGCAGCAACGCAATAACGTGTCGGGCTTTGTGATCTTCGAGCTGATAAAGTGAAATTCGCAATTTGAAATCAACATTAAATAAACAAAGTAAAATGTGGAAGAGCTTAAGCGTGCTAATGGTGATCGGTCTCTTGGAACTGTCGCAGGCTCAGCGGCCATCGTTTGCTGGTCTGCGTCCGCCGGGCGGACTTAGCCAGAAGGACAAATATCATGCCGCCCAAAATACGGCCGTAGAGAATATAACTGGCGTGGACATTGCCACACGTTTCGGCGCGGATGCCGTGGCACAGCAGACGCAAACAGTCAACTTGGCGTACGGCGCCTCGCAAAAGCCGCCAGTGGGCGTGCCACTTGTGCTGCCCATCAACAGCTATGTGCCCGATACGCCATCGAATGTGGCGCCGGCTACCGTCGACGTGGCCAATCGCTTCGGTGGCGCTGCTGATGCTCCGGCCAATCCGCCATTTGCGACAAGCGGTGTCAGTATTAGACCCACTGCAAGTGTCGCCAGCACTGCACCCGTGGCTAATGCTCTGCCCATCGATGCGCACGGCGATCAGAACTATGTGAATTACTTGAGCCAGCTGCCCGTGGACAATCAGCCTTTCTGGTTTCTCAACTATCAGGCCATCGAGGCGTTGAGAAACAGCACGAGGCCGAATGTTAGTGCACTCGAGACGCGGGGATCTTTCTTTGCTGGTTAAAGCTCGGTTTCCAGTCACAATAACAACAATACTCATGGCTAATTAATGCACAAGCTCACATAATTGTGTATGTGTGTGTGTGTGAGTACAGAGTGTACATACGCTTACTCAGCAATATTATCTTGAAAAACCGGAGGAAATACCAAAATCGTGGGGAATGATTTGTGATTTTTCAAGCGATAAGATTGCGATTCGACATTCAAATAGAGAAAATTTTAAATATATATTATATTATTAAAGCAATATGCAAATAATTATTGTGTGGGAACTGTAAAGACCCTATAAGCTATCAAAATATATATATTATATAAATATTATTTATTAAAACTTATTCTTCTGGCTCTTATTTTGATGTGTTTACTTTGGGCTTTATCAGCATCTGTATGGAACGTATATAGTTTCCCTTTTTACCCCACTTGTTGAGTCCCCAAAATATGTTTTCTTGATCGTCAACTTTCTTTTTAGAGTATATGCCATTAGGATTGCTAAAGTTGAACAAAGGATTATATATATTCATATGAGTATCGATATTAATACCTACCAGGTGGGTATTATATTGTCGTACCACCACCAGCCACTCTTGAATTTACTTGTGGGCACGGTGAAGGGCTTCTTCTCGCTCAAGCGCATGGCATCACTGGCATCCCCCACATATGTGCCTAGGGACTTGAGCTCGTAGTTCTCCTTTTCGTTGCCAACCACAAAGTTGTCATATCGTGCATAATGGGTGTTGTGATCGTAGTCAACTATATGGACATAGAGTTCATGTCGTTGATAGCTGGTTATCGCGTGCAGCTTAACTAACCCAAGCCACAATTCTCCCTTGGGATCGCCAAATCCATTTCGATATGAGACCAAGTTAGTTTGGAAATTCGTAAGTCCATTTATGCGACGTTGGATCACAACCCAACCTGGCCCAGCAATCCCGTGCTCAAGCGTGGGACGAAAAGGTGGAAACCCCGGTACGTACATAAGCTGTTTCGTGGCCCCGTAGGGAGTTGTAATATAAATGTTTTTAAGCTTCTTCTTTTTATCCAATTCATTGATTTTCGTATTCAGCTCTGAAATACGTTTCCTTAACGCTTTAATCATCTCGTCTCGTTCGGTAAGCTTGCCCTTTAAATCGTCCTGAAGCCCTGAAATCTTTAAGGTCAGCTCGTCCAATTTCATTTTCGATTGCGGATTAAGTTCCTTCGTTGGACTGTCGCTAGATAATTTTAGTGAAGCTATTAGCTCCTCCATGTACAAGATTTTGTCCTTATAAAGACTTTCCTTGTCGCCGAAAACGGATGCTTTTATTTCCAGCTCCGACAGTTTTCCCTTTAGCTCACCAATTTCACGGTCCCGGATTCTTATTATGCCATTTAATTCTTCTACATCGTGTTTTGTCACAGCCTCCTGCTCCAGTAAACTGTGCAGATTATTCGGGTTGTCAAAATGATCGAAGTCATTGATAGAAGACTGTAATGAAAATCGACTGTAATTTCTTATTAAGTAGCCTCTTTGTAGCACTCACTGCGGTATTGCCGGAGTCCACAGCTGAGGCATTATCATCCAGTTCTATATTCAATATTTTACCCTCCATATCGTATTCTATTTTAATTGTTGTCGGGCCAGGCTAAAAATTCAACTGATTCATTTCAAAGTTTCTTTTATATTCACACTATTTTATCTATTCACAAGACCTGATAAGAAATTTAATGATAAATCAAAAGATAGACCCCAATGATATCTTTTTCTGGCCTCTATCGATCCATGCATAATCCCTTTATCAAAATTAATTTACTTGAAGAGAACGAATAGTGGATTTGGTATACTCTTTACAACAAAATTATATATCGAAGCCAAATAATAAAATGTCTCTTCTTCTATGACTATAATCATTTTAATTATTATATAATTCCTTTTAATTATTTTAATTATTTAACATTCACCTTGAGGCATGCTCTTTTATAGTATGATTAAGCTCGCTTAAGGGCATATGAAATCGGTCAACTCGAAGAAAAGTTCGAAATCACATTCTTACATTTACATAGATATAAGTAAGCTTTATTAACTGAATTTAGCACAATGAATCAATTTAAATGATGATTAAATTACATATGCGCAATTATAAAGTAAGTAAGGCCGTTAAAGTCGCATACAACCGACTGCATAATACTCGCTCGCTATATAAAACTTTTCAATTTATTTAAAATATCCCAATTATTGGATTAACCACTGGACAAACAAGCATCTCACAAGAGAAGCACTTGCAACACTTGATTATAGAATTAGGATCAGATAGTTCATCCTGAGATGACACTTACCAACTTCTAAGGTTCTTAAATTCTAAATAACTAACTTCGTTTTGCATGGAAAATGTAGATGCATACAGTCTGCCTCTAGCCCCAATCAATCTACTCTTTTTAATTCGAGAGGCGAGTATAAAACTGATTAACAGCGCTGGAAAGCAAAGGTTACATAAATGATACTACGTACACATACGTCTATCTATGCATGTATGAAGCTCATTAAGCTCGATTTAGTATAAAAATCTTGAATAGACGAGCAACAATAGTATTGAAACCTTTTAAACGCCCTTTTAAGAGCAAAAAAAATAAGTAATAGTAAAGAAAAACAAACACAAAAACAATTTATAAGCAGGCAAAACATGAAAAATGCATTCAAAGAGCCATAACAAAGGAAAAGTGAGAAAATGGAGCTCAGAAATGCAGGGAAATGCACAACAAAACTCAACAACTTCAATATGCAATGGAGGAAAATGGATGCAAACAATGAAAAGTGTTCCTTGGGCACTTGTTAATGGCGAGCGAATGGCGAAAAAGTCGATACTGGAGCAAAAGTGTCAAGCACTAAAAATGCCACTGAAAAAGTAAAGAGGGAACAGAGTTGGAGTAAGAAGAATAACACTTTAATGAAAATTCAGTTTAATGTACTCAAAACAAAACAGATCTAGGCAGATAACAATCAATCAATCACAGGATCATTTACCACGCCAGCTGCTGAGGGGCTGCATTGTAGGCAACAACGTAGGGCTGCTGGCCACCCAGATAGTAGAACTGTGGAGTGGGCAAGGCGGCTGCCGGAGCCACAGCAACAGCTGGTGCTGCTGCCTCAACCGGCAACTCTTCCAGGCGGGCAATGCGCTGACGCTGGCGCTTGGGCTGTGCCTTGGCCAGTTGCAGCTTGGCTAATCTCTGGCGGCTGCTGCGCAAGCGAGCAACAGCTGCTGGTGTGGTCACCTCCTCCAGCGAGTTCTCCTCTATGTCTACTTCCTCGGCATCGGGCTGGAAGCTGTTTGCTGGCGGTTCCTCTTCAGCGGGCAGCTCATCCACATCCGAAGACGGGGGTGGGCCATAGATGAGTGCTGGCTCCTCCGGTTTCAGCTCATCCGCCGACGGATAAGGCGTTGGCTGCACTTCCTGCCTGGCAGACACTTGACGCTGCCGATTGAAGCGCAAACGACGTGGCGCCTCAGCGGATACGTGAGCCACCAGGATGGCCAGGAGCAGCAGGGAGCTAATGAGCTGATAACGTGCCATGATCGTCTTAGTTGCTGTGACGCTTTGTTGCCGATCGTATATGGAGCTTTTACTTTTATACTCGCAGTTGGCCCAGTGTCAGTGTCGGTGATTCTAGACCACTCCGCAACGTTCCGCATATAAAGCAGTCAATAATTTGATAGCCCACTCCAAAGAAAAAACAACTAGTAATCCAAAAAACCATTGACCTGCATGATAAGCAGGCGCCGCACAGTGCTTCAAAACTCATTTGTTTTTGGACAACTTCAATGTAGGCAAATAATGAGATATATAAATGCATATAATATATATATATAAATATAGATATATATAAATATTAATATTAATACATTTTTTAATAAATGCAAAAACAAATGATATTTTTATATATGTCAACAATTCTTTAGATTATCATATTAGATTAGAGAATCCACTTTTTAGTAAATACAAAATATATTATTTTTTTATATATATCAGTAACTGCTTAATTTTGTGAAAATGTCTTTGAATTTTCTTGTCTCTATGTACAAATAATACTCTTTAATTATATTAATGTGTAAAAGTAAATTAAATTTTTAGATAAAGAAATTATATTGGAATCCAAGTATCTTAAAAAAATATATATATTTAAAGATTTTTGACATTGAATAGAAATTTATTTGATGAACTGTTTGCTCCAGTATAGAGAGTCTTAAGAATATTATTATTCTTATATATATTTGTTTATTTTAAATTATAAATTCATTGAAGTATGCTCCGTGTTCTTGTACCACTGTAGCTGTAGCATATGGAAAAAATAGTTGAACATTCGCTCAAATACATTTTATTTGCTTCAGCCCATGCTGCAGCGGTCTGCGGCGATCGAGTGTGTGAAGTTCAGAGTTAAGTGGCGAATCGATTTAATGGTAAATGGTTATACGGTTATGGGTTAGACATGGGCCCTTGACTAAATATTGTCACGTAGGTGCACGCATGTGGATGCCATCTTGAGGGTGTCCCTCGGCGTGCCATTTATGACTGCCAAAATGTTTGTGTATAAAAAGTCTGCGATTCGCATTCGATATCAACATTCTAACAATACCCAGCAACAGTTCGACATGGCTTTCAAGTTTACCAGCTCTGTGCTCATCCTGGCTGCGCTAGCAGCTGTCTCTGTGGCGGAGCCGGCGCGTCTGCGCAGTCGCTCATCCCGTTTCCGTTTGGCTCGCCAGGAGGAGGCACCGCCAGCACCTACAGATCCAGCTGTGGACATTGCACCAACGCCCGCTTCGGCGCCTTATCCACCTGCAGGTGTCACGCCCGCCATAGCTTTTGATCTACCCACTGAGACGGAGACCGAAGCGCAGCCCGATTTGACTTATGGCCCACCCGATAACACTTATGGCCCACCCGCCGAGCCGGACAACACCTACGGTCCACCTGCCGAGCCCGACAACACCTATGGACCACCTGCTGACACTGCAGCTGATCTGGGCCAAGATGATGATCTGGCTCCAGCCGATGCTGATCCAGCCTCAGAGCCCATTCCCGCTAGCCTGATCCTTGCACGCAGCGGCCGCCTGCGCAGTCGCCGTCCAGTGTCAGAGAAACTGCGCTCCGCTCAGATCATACGCTCTAAGCCCATCCTGGTCTATACCATCTAGATAGACCATTGTTCCGAATGTTTTTACGAGTTATCGAGGCAATACGATACTAATATTTGTTATTAATTAAATAAAACGTTGTTAAAAAAATTAATCAATTTTTTATTTTCTATTTGAAATAATTGAAGTTCCAATTTTAGTTGATTAGTGGAAAAACCTTATATAAGATGCTTTGCATTAGAAAATAATCAATTTTAGCTGTTCTGACTTGAAGATATCTCTTATGCTTAAATGGAGACTTTCATAACTTTTCATTGACTTTCGTTGGTCATTTAAAAGCATTTATAATTTATAAGAAATGGTTACCTTTAGTGGGCTCTGACGATCGTTAAAAACCTGACCCTAACTATGTTTGCTAAATACAGCTTTCGACTTCCGTTCATTCAAGGCTTTGTTTCCATAGTTTTAATTTTTCGAATTTAATTTAGAAACTATTAATATATATATATATATATATATATATAAAATTAATATCAAAGCCCAATAAAGTAGCCATAAATTTTAATATTCTATTGATAAATATTCGTTAATAGTTGAAGCTTACATTTTATGTTTTTAGTTCTATATGTTTTGGGTTTATTGGAGTATGAGACTTGAGGTCGACATACAATTTAATATGAAATGAATTGTCCTTTAGCCTGAATGATAAAACAGTTAAAATATAAATATTGGACTTTAAATTTGTATGATATTATAAAGATAGGTATTATTTTTAATATTTTTTTTATCATGTTTCATTAGGCCAAAAATTCATTCGACAGAGCTGTGAGATATAGAGGTTTGACACATCCATTTATTTATTTATTAATATTTAAATTATTATTAATTATTTGTTAGACTGAGAGATTCTTTTACTAATGAACAAGCAAACGGAAATGAGCAAATAACTCTTCTTCATAATCTCACCGGCAATAAACCTCCAGTTACTATATATAACATGTCTTTTGTGATAGGATTAAAAGGGTATACGTCAAGGTTGGATTGGGATATTAGGTGTCCACAAGAAATAAACCTAATTGAAGGGAATTTGTATGTAAAAATGGTCAACTACTGCCTGACCTAGATGAGAATTATGTCTAATGGGGTATCTCTCCAGACACGTTTTCGAAAAGGCCAATGGTTATGAATATAAAAGCCATTAAATAAAATTATGAATAGCCAAGAACCCACCGAAATAAGCAAATGGAGAATCGAGCTACGAGCAAAAGCCTATTGGAATCGCTGTCGACGGCGTGTTAATGAGGAGACACAGAGAGACCAGTAGTTGTCACCATTTGCTTAGCATTGGCTGCCAAAATTGGGAAAAGGGTCACGTAGCCAGCATTAAACAGAAATCACAAGTCGATTCGATCGGGGCAACATAATCAAAGCCGTGCCGAGTAAACGAGAACAGCAACTAGCTAGCCGCTAGGAGGCCTAAAATCGAAAGTGACGAGCATAAATTATGAACGGCAGATCAGGTCGGGAGGCCCCTATAAATAGGCCGAGCTCTTGGGCAACTCAGAACAGAATTAAATCGATCGTCAAAATGATTAAAGCTACTTCAACAATTCTACTGCTAAGTTTGGCCGTCCTGGTCGCTTCGGAGCCACTGCGGCAGAGATTTGTACCGCGACGTGGGCTCGCACGGCAGGAGCAGGCAGCGCTACCAAGTCCTGCGCCCACAGGCTACCCAGAGGCAGGTGTTACTCCCGAAGTACCCTTCGAGCTGCCAAGCTCAACTGCTCAACCGGAAGCGAGATATCTGCCTCCAGATAATACCTATGGACCGCCCGACAGCGTCTATGGCCCACCCACTAGTGTGGATGAGCAGCCGCAACTAGACGACTTGCCCGAGCCCCAGCCGGAGCCTGAACAGGCCATCGAAACGGACGACATACCAGAAGAAGAGACCCCTGTTGATGCCAAACAGCAGCCAGCCGAAGATGTGGATGAAGAGCCAGTGCTTGTGCAAGTGGCCGAAGATGGCACCGTGATTGCTGTGTCCACGACACTAGACCAGCCCGACGATAAGAAACCGGCCAGAATCTATCAACGTTTCCCACAGGCTCGCCGCAGGCAGCAGCCAGTGCCGGAGCGCTTGGTGCTGCGTCGCAGCTGGTAAAATTATAACCTAAGTCATGTAAAAGCTATTAATAAAGTTGGCTATAGCCACATATAATCTTCACCTCACATGTGCATGCGGTTTAGTCATAGTAGCTGGGCACGTAAGCGCTTGGGCTTGCCGTATAAGTCATCGCTCGATTGGCCTTGTCTGCAATTTGGGCACTTGGGCAGTTGGGACAGTCTGTTGGTGAAGGTCAGCTTTGGTCTATGATGGGTATTTAAAGTCGGCAATTGACAGAGGGCAGCAGCAGTTCATGTTTTGACAGCAAAATGTTTGGAGCAAGCCTTTTAATTTTGGCTCTTTGTGCGGCAGCAAGCCTGGATGCTAGTGAGGCGGCTAGATTACGATTTCCGGGACCTGTACTACAGCGACAAGAGGTGGCTCCTTATCCAGCAGCCGGTTTGACGCCTGATCCACCATTTGAACTGCCTACGGAGCAGGCAGCTGACTTCCCTGAACCAGATTTGACCTACGGGCCACCAGAAGAACAGCCGGAGCTTGTTTACGGACCACCTGAGGAACAGCCTGAGCTTGTTTATGGACCACCTGATGAAGTCTATGGACCACCCGAAGATGTTTATGGACCACCCGATGTATCCTACGATCCACCAGCTGTAGAAGAGATTCCTAATGAGACATATGGTCCGCCGGAGCTGCCCAAAAATATAGACTCGAATGGTTCAGGACAGAACGCTGCAACTATAAGCTTGGCTAGCTTACGTCCACAACTACAATTTGTGTTGCCTCTGGTACAACGTTTTACCGCCTTCCGGCAGCTTCTTCGTCCTGTGCAGTCCCAACGCCGACCCGCAAAATTGACCGCTCGTCCACAGAGAAGACCTGCAAAAATTATCAATCGAGTTAATGCTGCTTTTCCGGCTACTCAATTGACTCTGCCATTTGTGGAGCGTCGCATTCCGTTTAGGGCTTCGCGTTTAATTGTTAACGCTCCTTTAAAACGGAAGCCCGCCAAGATTACCGTTAACTCACCTAAACAAACTCTCGCCCAATTGACGCCCGCCATACGCAGGCCAATATTTTCTGGCGGTCGCATTATTGCCTATTCTGACCAAGTGCAGAATTGGTAAATGATGCAAACTCTTGTAAATATTTTTTGAATAAATTGTTACTTCTCTGATACATAAGTATTCGAACTGATTAACATTAGGCAGCAATATTCCAATTTGATCAATCTGGCAGCTCTATTTAAATCGATATATTGCCAGTTGCCGTCACATCGGCAAACCGCCACACATGAACATCTTAGAGCGTATCCATCCCTATAGCACGCTAAACCGATTTGCCGACAGTGCTGTATTTTTAATAAAAATATAGCAATACTATAAAATAATAAACAATAATATCTATAAACATAGTAAAGGATTGACAACCAGCAGTAGGTACTGCAAACTTCATTGTACAGCAAAAGTATTGTGGACTTAAACAAAAGGTAAATATTTAGCGGCCAACAGTGGGACATCACAATTCATGAACAGTTCCGTAGGTAAAATGGCTGGTGTGTTATTCGAGGATATATTCAACGTCAAGGACATGGATCCTGAGGGCAAAAAGTTCGATCGTGTTTCCCGCCTGCACTGCGAGTCTGAATCATTTAAAATGGACCTCATACTGGATATAAATTCATGGCTCTATCCCATGGAATTGGGAGACAAATTCCGGTTGGTGCTGGCCACAACACTGCGCGAAGACGGTTGTCCCGACAGTGGCGAATATAATCCTATGGAGCATGAAGGAACGCGGGCGGATAGTTTTGAGTATGTCATGTACGGAAAGATCTATCGAATTGAGGGCGACGAGGCGCATAACGAGTCGTCACGGTTGTCGGCGTACGTTTCATTTGGTGGCCTGTTAATGCGTCTGCAAGGGGATGCCAACAATTTGCACGGATTCGAAGTGGACCAGCACATGTATTTGCTAATGAAGCGACTGGCGTTTTGAATATTGTATAATAAATCACACAGTGTTTGTAAATTAAATTACTTTTCTTATAGCTATAAACGTGAAATCCAGTAATACCGTAATGGACTAATGCTAAAATACCCAAATTTTATTATCGAACTGTTGTTCAAAACAATTAGCTATCGATATTCTAGAACTGAACTAGTTCCATCTTCATAATTAGAAGTAAACATGACACAGCGGGGTGCAAAACGAAATTAAATATTTTTAAGCGAAAGATGCATTTTAACTGTGCAGCGTGTAACATAAAATGTGAAGATAACTAAGATTGTAGCTGAGACTTGCTAAGAGTTTGCAACATGTTTGTGTCTACGGCTCTGCTGACTGAAGGTAAAAGGAAAAGTGCAGTGTGCAGTAAAATTGGGCGTTTGGTTAACAAATGCAATAAAATTTCAACAAACAATACATAAAATGTAGTCTTGAAGTGTGCCTGGTGCTTTGTGTGCTTGTTTGTGCATGTTCCTGTGTGCTTGCTTCAGTCAGTTGTAAGTTTTTATTTTGCAGCTGTTTATAAATATTCTCACTTCACTGCGGGTAAGTTGTCTTGTTTTTTTTTTGTTCTGAATTCTTTTATAATGTGAATATTGTGGTGTTGGCATTAAATTTTGTATGTATATAAGCAATATACACAACTAGTTTTCATTGGTGTCGGTAATTTGTAGTTACTAACAAAATTCTTGCAGTAGCTTTTGTTTTTCCTTTTTGTATTGAACATTCTGCTCGACATAAACAGAAGACTTCAACGTTTGACCCCCACAACAAGACGCACGCCCAGCGCTCTGCAGCTGCGCTGCTTGCTGTCGTCGCCATCGCCATCGCTTCCCCATTTGCCTATTTAGCATTACAAAACTGCTGTTTTTGTATTCTTTGAGCCCCACACCTTTTGTGAGTTTTCGCTGTCGTTCGTGCTTTTTCCAACGTTCTCTTTCAATTTAATGAATCGCTGGCTACCGTGCGGGCAGGCAGACATCAGCGTCGCTTCACGGGCGACGCGGACGCAAGCAGAACAGAGCTGCAATAGTTACAGTTAAAGCTCTTTGAAAGTGTGTGTGTCTGTGTGTTTTGTTTTTAGGGTTTGGTTCGCGCTTCGAATTCGCTTTTCAGCACTGTTTTCATTTTTGTTTTACGCTTCATTTGCGTAACGTGCAGCTGTGTGAACTGTGGCCCTGTCCCTGCACTTGGGCACATCATGCTTCAATGCTGTTCCCGATTGCCGTCAATAACTTCATAAAAACTAAACACAGTAAGTTTTGGCGCGCGCTGCCGCCCTTTTTATTTTTCTATTTACTTTTTGTGTAGATGTCAATGAAGCGTCGCCAAAGGTCTGTAAATCTCCTCTAAGCGTATGTGTGTCTGAGCAATCTGTTCGCCAGATGTTTATGTATTGAGCATTTCGAGCTAACTGTTCCCAGGGTCGTCATCGCCGTCTATTCTTGATTTTTACAGTTCTTCTTTGTTCTGCATGCAGTTTCCTGGTTTAATATGCCATTTCATTGGAAGTTTCAAGCAACAACTTCAGCAGCAGAAACAACAAATGCAGCAGTAATTGCTAAGTGAAAAAGTAACCATCAGTTACCAGTTGTATAAGTAGACTCTTATCTGATCAGACTACGCCTTATCAGTTATTGCCTTTGTCGCGCACTTATCAGTGTTTTAGCTTGGCAGCGCGCTCTCTCGCATTCCAAACAAAAGATTGAGAAAACAAACTAAACAACTTTTGAGTGTAACGCATATGAGTTTCCACATATGTCTATATATACTACCTGGAAATTCTAGCTGATAAAGTGATCAAAATAAATAGAGTTCTACTACACTGAAAAAAAACCTTGTTCAAATCGAGTCTTGTTCTCTAAAGTTTATAATGTGACTGAATGCGAGCGAGTCAACATCAAATTTAAATTTACTTTAACAAGAAGTCAGTTGTGTTAAGCATACGCTCGTTTGTATTTCAATTACCTGGGAATTTTCTCTCAGTGTAATTCGGCATATGCCTCTCTACGCCTCCCCTTGATACAATTCTTATCGTTAGCGACAGTTTTTGAAGTTCGGTGGACACAGCTGAAATTCTTATTGTTGTTTTCATTGTTTTGTGTTTTGTGAGTTGTTTAGAACGTGGCATTGCAAGCTAAATAATTAACAGCTCTTAACTTTTTCTTGCAGCGAAAATATAACTAAATCGCTTTAGCAATCGATGGTGTTTGGGAACCTACTTCTTTAGTTAAAAAAAAAGTAAACGAAAATAAGCAGAAACCTATCGTAGAAACATTAACCCCTTCCCCAAGTAAATTAGCATCTGGTGCCGGGTGCAGGAAGCTCTGTAATAGACATAAAACTAACTCAGCATGGTACGCAGTCGTCGCAGTCTCTCCAAAGAGGATGCCGTCTCTCTGCTCACGGATAGCGGTATCTCGCTGTCATCGCCGCCGGCGGCGCGTGAATCCTCGCCTGCTGCGACGGCCATTAAGCGACGCAAGAGCAGCGTCAACAGCAGTTTGCAAGATTTGTATGTGGATGGCGAGCAGGAGGCTGAGCAGGACTCAACCGATACAGATGCAGACTACATTCAACCGGAGCCAAAGAAATCACCGCGTAAAGCAGAGTCCGCCAAACGCAAGCAACACGTGTGCAGTCATTGCTCTAAGGAATTCGGTGGCAAAACCGATTTGCAACGTCACATGCTCATCCACTCCGATGAGCGCCCACACAAATGCATCGACTGCGGCAAATGCTATCGCCAGGCGGTGAATCTTAAGAACCACATCACCACCGCCCACGAGCACAAGAAACAGTTCGCATGCACGCAGTGTCCCAAATCGTTTGCACTCAAGGAACGCCTTAAGCTGCACATGCGTCTGCACTCGGGTGAGAAGCCATATCCATGTGCACTGTGCGAGAAACGTTTCGCGCGGGGCGGCCAAGTGAGTACCGTAATGAATTTGTACTTATCTCAAATTGAAACTGATAGCTTTGATTTCTCACGACAGCTCCAGCAGCACATGGTATCCCATCACAAGATGAGCATACAGCAATTCAACTGCACCAAGTGTTCGGCCAGCTTTTCGACCAATGCCAATCTTCGTGTGCACATGGAACGGCATGAGCAGGGTATGGAACACAAATGCTCCATATGCGAAAGCCAATTTGCCACTGAATTGGCACTGCGCGCCCATATCAATCAGGAGCACCATAAGCTGAGTCAATTTGAATGTGAAGTATGCCATAAGACCATCGAGCCAGATGAAGATCTAGCCACTCACATGCAGAAGCACGCAGCGGTTAAGACGCATGTCTGCGAGGTGTGCAATTCGTATTTTACTCAAAAGTCCCAATACAATGTGCATATGCGAATGCATACGGGGGAGCGGCCGTATCAGTGTCGGGTAAGTCGCAGCAATGACTAACAGGAAGCTTACCCTCTAATGTAATCTATGTACATGTGTTGCAGATCTGTCATCAAACATTCGCCCACTCCAGCGTGCTTAAGCTACACATTCGCAAGCACACGGGGGAAAAGCCATTTCGCTGCCAGCTATGTGCGGACGAGGTGGCCTTCTCGCAGTTAGCGCATCTTAAGAATCACATGAAGAAGATACACAAGCAACAGAAACCCTACATGTGTCCTGGGTGCCATGAGTTCTTTAAAATCAAAGTGGAGCTACAAGCACATAGCGAGCAGTGTGCCAAGTGCAAAGCAACGGGCGAGCTCAACGATAGCCAGAGCGAAGATGTTCAAACACTATCCAACATTCGCTTTAACATTGCCGTTGTGTTGAAAAAGATTAGCTCATCGCAGAAGCTGCGTCAGCTGGGCTATGAAAAGCGTTTGATTGATAATGTTATCATAGCATCACTAAAGCTGGCACAGCGTCCGTCACATGACGATGCAACACTGACGCCTTTGGCCAGGCTACGTTTAAATGTCGAAGAGTTTCTCAAGTGGATTGTGCCGACGCAGACCATGCAGAAGTTCAGCGAGGAGCTTCTCTCGATCGATACGATACTCGACAAGATTGCGACGATGTACATGAACCAGAAATAGAAAGCTACTAATGCTCACTGCTTTCCAGCAAAGCGAATGTGCCATAGAGTAAACGCCGTGCTTAGAATTAGTTCTTGCCATTTAATTTAGCTTAACCCCAAAAAGTTAAATAGAAAATTCAACCAAATGATTTAGTCCAAAGATATTTAGATTTAAGCACAAATATGAATTTACACAGTCCTAATTTTAGTTATGCCAAAAAAGAGAACACCAAACCGGATCAAGGGCATTCCCTTGTTCCACTGTATGAAAACTTGCCAGAGCAGTGATTACCGCTTAGGTTTTACTCTAAGTTTGCTTAAATTAAACTTAATTCATTGTGGCCATGCATATTTACTTAATTTAATAGAGTTGCATTTTGTATCCACTTCATTACACCCGTTAACGAAACCAAATATAAACCAATTGAAATTTAGATTTGTAACTGTAAATATAAGGAATTAACACATTTTGCAAATGTAAAATAAATGAAAACAGTTAACAGTAATATTGTGTGTATGTATATTAATTAACAATTATAAAACCAATCATACCCATTGCTAGGACGGTTCTATTTTATTTTCATATCCGAAGCCTGAAATAACTGTTTACAAAAACTTGTGAATCACTGAGTAAACAGCATCTGTTCACTGAGAAAAACATTAAGCTCACCTAGGAAAACCACTAAACCGCTGTCCGCAGCCAACAAGCTAACTACAATAACAGTTATGTACAACTGTCAAGCATTGGTGGCTGGTGGTTGGTGGTCTGCGATCTGTTGACTGCCCCTGCCCCCCATGGGCCCATGCCTGAACGCTATATATGGTCGCGTTTGTGCAAATTTATAAGCCACTCACATTAAGGCGGCAAATATTTTTATGGCCATGGCACAACAGCAGAGGCATCCTTGCCATTAGCTGCCGTCCACCTGCTGCCCACCCGAGGTTTTGCGGGCGAATGGGAGTGCTCCTCCAATGGCGATTAATGAAATTTCCGCAGCGAATTTATTGAAACGCTACCAAGAGACCGCTGGGAAAAAGCTGAGCGCGAGAAATATGGCAAATTTCATATAGAAAATATATTTACACAAATACATACATATGCATGTTATATATACATATATTTATATGTATGTATTTGTATATGATTTTTTATGATGACCAGCTGCTTTGTTTGGCGTTGGCGTTTGTCCATTGCGTGTCACTCGATGTTAAGGTGCGCCTCGTCCACGTTCCAATCAGCGTCTCCCGTCTGCGTCTCCGCTCCCAAATCGGGCTCGCTTCGGCCACAGCCAGCAGCTTAATGTCTACATTTGTTCTGGCCATTGCGTGTTCAGTGGCTGCCCTTTCCTTTCTCTATGCATCTCCAGCACCACGTTGCGATGGCTCCAACTACTCCTGTTGCTGCTGCTGCTGCTGCTGCTGCCATGGCGCATTAGAACAAATTGTTCTTGTTACGATAGGAGGATGGACATGCCTTTTGCCTTGTTTGGACCGATGGACAGAGTGCCACTGCTGTTGCTGTTGAATACCCTACAAGCTGACTGTCCACCCAAATGAGCGTTAACTGCTTAATGTAACTTTTGGCAATATGCTATGAATATGCATATGTAAAGGGATTTATATATCATAGAACAAAATCATTTGGCCAATTTAATATATATGCTACACATGGGCATATGTTTATAATATTTAATTTTCAAGTTACTTAACCTAAATATATTTATTAAATTATTTAAAAATTAACTTATTGTTTCTCATTAATTTATGCTCGTTGGCTCTCTACGATTTTCTTATTATTTAATTAATCTTTCCAGGATATCCACACGTTGGCTATGCCTCGCTTTTGAGTTCTTTCCTTTCATAGATGTTTGTTTTTTCTTCTTGCTCTCTGGTTTAATGCGCTGCGAATTCGTGAAACAAATAGTCGCAGACGCAAGAGCTCTGTAACTAAGTACGCATGTTTCTTGACTGGCTTAACTTCATCCGCATGCAGATTTCGTCTGGGCAATGTTAATGATGGGAAAAATGTGTGCTTGAAGTCAAGAGGAGGAGCAGCAGCTGGCACTGCAGCAGTCAGATCCATGCCATGACGATTCCCCTGTTCTCGTTTTCATTTTGTGATCCGCAGCAAATTGATTTGGTTTGGGCTTTGGGTTTTCTTTCTGCTCTGTGCCCAATCATTTGACGTTGCTGCATCGGTACTCGCATTATATAATGTGCATATATAATTCCTTTGTTGTCTGCTGCTAATTTGCAAATTTGCGCTGACATTGAGGTAATGTCATAGCTGAAATCTCTGCACGCTGAGCGCGCTCCCGGCCTGGATGCACAGAGGCCGCAATCATGGCCAGTTGACCAGCTTCAACGTTGACTGACATCTAATTGTGTGTGATTTGTATGAGGAGTTGGCGTTGCAAAAAGAAGCCCAGCTAATAGGCTGCTTATTTAGCTGTGAGTGAGGAAGAGCTGCATACGAAATTGCAGTCCTCCACTTAAGCTAAGGCCATAATGGGTTTTTTCTTGCTCAGAATTTATGGAAAGCTAATTAACTGGACTTCTCAAAACTCAATCAATATAGAGTTGTGTAAGGCTAGAATAAAATAATTCTGTATATGAAAATTTAGAAAAAATTAACAAATTCTTGAAAACTATTGAAAGTTGAGCTGATTAAATAAAAGCAATAAGAAAATAAATTGCATGTAAGTATAAGCCTTATATGAGAGCTATATCTCAGCCATTCTATATGAAATGCTGCATCTTTTAAAATGCCTCGGGTTCAATGCGATTTCCTCGGGTTCCTCACTGCGTATTAGTCTTCGTCTGCATTTAGTCTTCAGATCTGTCCGAAGTATTCGTAGCATCTGCAGTAATAATGCCGACCAGCTGACCTTGAATTTCTACTCAATATCACAAATATTTCAATAAGTCTAATTGGCATATTCGATTCGATTCATCTAATGAATATGTTAAAAGCGAAATATGGTTATTAGAAATGGTATCAGCATGATTTAATTGATAAATATTTTCAAGCATATATAAAGTGTTATTAACATGCATTGAACACTTGTATTAAGTAAGAGGAGTCTGAAATGTAATTTTTTAATTATCACCGACGGCAACTCCTCATAAAGCCCGTTTGAAGCCTCCTACTAGGCATTAAGCTGCGGTTCATAGCCGTGTCTGAATGTTGACCATGGATGGATTTTCGACAAAGCTCATCAGCTCAACACATGCAGTCAGTCGGTCATTCAACTCGGGCTGAACAAAGTCAAAGGCAAGTCAAAAGTCATAAAAGATATGCAAGCATACATCCTCATACAACCTCTATATGAGCATAAATATGTACATGGTACACACTTTAGCTGCACATACAGCAAAGAATACATGTGTTGGAGTATGTGCGTCTCCCTACATCTGCTGCTGGTAATCCTTTGGCCGTGTGTGCCCTTTGCAGCATCAGCATCAGCATCAGCATCAACATCAGCAGCAGCAGCAGCCGCAACAACAATTACAAATGAACGACTTCTTTGTTCTGTCAGCGATGGTTGGGCCCAAGTTCGAGTTCGAGTTGCGGTAGCACCCAAAAGAGGGGGCGTCGTTCAAGTCAGCATCTCGCATTGCTGCTCTACAGTGCCTACAGTGGCCAGCAGCAGCTGCTACGCATAAAGCATAAGCCATTTGGCTTTTGGATGCGAATGCTGCTGCGGATGCACCTTTTTCTGTTTTTTTTTTTTTGTAAGGCGTGGGGCGTGTGGCGTGTTGCGTTGCGCTGGCCAAAACAAATAGATGAGGATGCTTTGGGTGTAGAGGAAGAGGAGGAGAATTTGCAGCAAAATGTGCAACGTTATCATAACTAAGTGCATGGGATGCGTGTGCGCCCCAAAAGCGCCTGCATATGCATAATTCATGCTATTGAACCCTCTGCTTCACAGACAACAGACTGCAGACAAGAGACTGCAGAGTGCAGACTGCAGACTGGACCCTGGACATGGACATGGACATGAACCTGGAGTGGCTGTGCGGCCTGGCTAGAAAAATTATAATTTCACAAGTCATAATAGGATTTGCAATTCAAATGCGAACGCAGACACAGATACAGCCACAGACACAGACGCAGACGCAGACGCAGACGCAAATACAGAACTCAACTCCTTGAGTCGAGTTGCACAAATTTCTGTGGAAGGCGCAGTCAACAAATGACGACAACAATGAGCCTCTCACAGCCAGGCAGAGGAGGCGAGCAGAGCTAGGCCGAGGCAAAGGCAGCGGCAGGGGCAGACAGTGAACAGCAGACAGCAGCCTTAGGTCCAGTCCGGGTAGGCAATGGGTCTATGCCAGACAATGGTTGGGCCAAGCGCACGGCATAGCCAATATGTCAAAAATATTAAGCGACATGGCCATCGAGCGCGGCATAAATATGCAAACGATAAGCGCTCGCCTCTATAAAGTTGTAAAATTGACAAGCGTTGCGATGCCAAAGTCTCAAATAAAGCAATAAAATGCGCTAAAACATCGCCAGCGACATGGGCCCCATCGGATCGACGGTAGCCGATCCCACAGTGGTCCAAATGCAAAAATTAGAAATGAAAGCCAGCGGGTTGCCTGCCCAGAATTTATGCCACTGGCTTGCCCAGCTTGGCTATTGGAATCCAACCACAGCCACTGTGGCACAAATTATGCTCCTGCTGCTGCCAGAGTTGCGACAGTCACAGCTGACTCAATCAGTGGAGGAGGATGAGCATTCAAAGCTCTTGACCATCTATTGAGCATCGATGCATGGCTCTGAGCATTGCCAGCCCAGGCTGCACTTCGAGGAAGTGCAGCTCAAGTATCATACAGATAACTAATGCGCTTGCATTGCTGAACATCGTAATAATGTCAACTGTATGCTGATGATGCTCCCCCAATGGGAATGCTGGACAAAAGGAAATACGTGGATGCTGCTACTTCATGTGCCCATTGACGGCTTATCTTAAGTAGGAAGTGAGAGTTTAGCATTCAATTTCTTAGTGCTCAGCACTTACGTTTAGGAAGCTCAATATCTCTTATTGACTAAAAAGGAATTTCAAATTTATTGAACAGTTCTAATTGCTTTGTATTTCGCTCACGATACTCAAATTCCATTGGATATTGAATGTGAATTATGGCAATAATTTCTTTAACCATCTTTTCATGTTCATAAATTTCATTTCGAATACTTTTCAGCATAAGAGAACAAAAGACTTAGGAAACAAACTTGACAATTTTCTAGCTAAAAAAGGCAAACGACCCAGCGATTTGATTAGAACTTAAGCTCAACCAGTGCTCAGTCGTTGCGTCATAAATATTTAATGATAATGATGATATAGCCTGGCGCTGGCCACGTACCACAAAGCTGGCTGGTCATAGAATAGCCTTGATCTTAGCCTTTGGCTGGGCTTTGGCTTTAGCTTCAATTTAAATCA